CACATAACTATATCTTAAGTAATCGTCGATAAAAGTGACATAACACTCATACCCTCCTCTTGCCTTGATCTTCATGGACCACAAACATCACTATGCACAAGTTCAAGAACCTCTTCAACCCTATTACCCTTAGACCCAAAATGTCTTTTGGTCATTTTGCCCTCCAAACAAGACTCACATTGGGGTAAGGACCCAACCTTTAAAGAAGTTAAAGGTCCATCCTTTACCAACCTCTGTATCCTACTAAGGCTAATGTGACCAAGTCGTAAATGCCAATGATATGTCTCATTAAAATGAGAAGTTGTAAGCCTTGTAGAGTTATTAATAACTTCAGTGTTTAGCAGTGAGTCCATCTTATGTTTGATAAAATATAGATTATTTTGCATCTATCCATCACAGATATAAGACTTGTTTTTACGAATAACAACTTTACTATTAAAAGAAACTGAATAAGAATCCTTAAATAAATAAGCAACAGAAATAAGATTCCTCTTAAATTGAGGAACATAAAAATAGTCTCGCAAAAATAAACTTCTATAACTATCAAAATAAAGATGGACATCTCCCACTACTTCAGCCAACACTAGAGTTCCATTGCCCATCCTCAACGTGAAGCTCTCATTTAGAAGACTTCTCGTTTGCTTGAACCCCTCCTTTGCCTTTAGAGGCTAGGTAGTCCTTGTAATTCGTCTTCATGTGCTCCACCTTCCCGCAATGAAAGCACTTGAGCTTGTTCGGGTTCTTCTTCTTCTTGTTGTTCTTGCCCTTGTTTGGCGGAACTGAAGAACTCTCTTTCTTGGTCTTGCTTCTTCTTTCCATTCCCTGGAGAGGGTTTGGATGAAGATGCCTCAGCCAAGTTGGCCTCCACAATAGTTGACCCCTTGATCATCCGCTCGAACTTTTAGAGTTCTTGCATCAACTTTGTCAGGGTTATATTCTGTTTAGCGCTCAAATTGAACGTTGCCCTAAATGGAATATACTCCTTCAATAAAGTCTCAAAGATCATGGTCAATTGAGACTCAGCATCGATGTCGGCCCCATTGGTCTAAGCGTCAGCCAAATAGCCCATCACCTTCAGCATATGTTCCTTTATGGAAGACCCAACCTTCTGTCTGCAATTAATGAGGTTATTTAGGGCTTCCCGACGTTTTTCAGCGGCTTGGCCGCCGAACATGTCTTCAAGATTATCCATAATTTGACGAGCAGTTATGTAATCTTAATGTTGTGCTTGAAGCATAGTGGACATGCTTGCCATCATATAACAGCGAGCCATATCGATATATACCATCCGGATCAATCTTTGTCTAGTATATATTGATAATCGTTTTCTTTGGCCATTAATTTAATTAACAGAGCTCCTAGGGGAGATTAATAATTAAATTAATCTTGAGTGTATAACCATCGTTTCAACTATTTGATCCATATTTTATAACTGTCACCTAGGGGTGTACAACCATAAAATATGTTCAAATAAATTATTCTCTCGGAGATCCACACCGGTACATAATGAATTCCTTCCTAGGATTCAGTATCACCATGTGTTACCTGCGGACCAAAGATGGAGGCCATGGGTCTTTTCTTCAAAAACCCTCACCCACTCAATCTTTTGAAAATAAGGTTTTATGTTAAAAATATGCATGAGCAATTTTAATGAGCGGCACTCCCTATTCTACATGACATGTTATCACATATATAGCAAATCATATTATATACAATCATACAAAGCAATTAAGCTAAGTAACAAACATAATAATAATAACCATAATATTATGGTTCCATCCTAGAGAAAAGAAAAAATAAAGATTACTAAGAATAATCAAAACATATATCGATCCTTCATCTTGAATCTTTCTGGTTGTCCTTGAAATCTTCATCACGATCAAATTCTAGTTATCATAAAAATGTTTTCTTCAAAAAATTTCAAAAATCTGCAAAATTGTGCACTACCATGTTAGGTCTGTCTGACCGGTGAACATAAAGATTTTCTAAATTTTCTAGATTTTTGACAATTTTGAAAAATTGTCACCAAAAAACTGAAAAAACAAAAATCAAAGCAGCTTTTCAATTTATTTAAAAACACAAAACAATTTTATAAACAATGGAAAAAATAGATACCTTTACATCCTTCATCTTCAAGATCCATGACAAATTTCCTCTAAGAATTTTTACATGAAAATTCCTATACCATTTCCAGTTTACAAAATTTCTACGAAAGAAAATAAAATAAACTCTAACGTTGATGATAGGCCGTATATCTAATTACATTGCCAAGAACAAATTCCTATACAACCATTCTAAATTCTAAGGAACCATAACCGGTAAAAATTAAATAATCAAAAACCATTGATAATTTATAAATAATAATCAATAATAATTATTTAATCATCCATTCACTATATATTCATGATGACCAAAAAATATAGAAACCCTAGAGTGCCAACTCTCTAAAATATCAATTCAAGCATAAAGGAGATATTTTTAAGATCACAAATCTATGTACATAGCATAATCATGAACAAATAACCATGGCTCTGATACCAATTGTTGGAAAAAATACGGCATCGAGTGCGCAGCGGAATTTTAAAATTTTAAATCAATGCCAAAGCTAATCAAGAACATGTTCATGATGCTATAGTCTTCCCATATTAAATAACTCTTAAAACAATAATTCAACCAATTTATCTATAATTAATTTAAAAATTAATTCACCCGATAAATCACTCATGAATTAACCAATCTCATATTAACTTTGAACCTCTTTTATGGAAATACCACAAGTTACCAATATGTAGGAAATACACCGTATTATTACAGAAAATTATGTGAGCTAGCAAAGGGACCCGATGGACATATATAAATCAAGCTCCTATAATCACAATGCTACTTGTAAATTAACAAGTCCGTCTCATAATTATAAAACTCCAGTGCTACTCCACTAAAAGCCTAGAGCTGCACTCTTGATTTATATAGCGTATTTACAGAGCTCTGAATAGCTCTCGTCCATGACTCAATATATTAGTGTAACATCCCCATAGAATATCTATAATCAACTTGAGGTCAAGTTCTGTTTTACCTTCCCAATTACATTTATCTTATGTTCCATTATCACACCATCAGAAAACCACTATTCATACCATTACAAATAGTAAACCATTAGATAACACAGAGTAGTCTAATGGCCGAGCGCTTGTATTTTCAATCCACAGATAATGTATAAGAGGATATCATTAACTCTTTGTAGGAGCTATGGATTCCACTATCTATGAATAACGAATCTACGCATACACGAGTTATACCCCTAATGTATCGGTAAGCGTACCTTTAAATAATATTAGGATGTCTCTCTTTCGTACATCAAAGGATACAAGTCAAGCATACGGGTTCATTATCCACCTCAGGATTAAGATGACAACATATAATTCGTCAAAAGTGAATTGTTTTATTCAAATGAAATTATTAATTAAAACAATTCAACTTTGGTCTGACCCAATATAGAATTCACCATTAGAAACCATATCAATGTCTCTACCCATGGAGTCCCACCTCCAACGACCAAGACAAGCCGTCTCCGTAAGGAAGTAGACAATATAACAATCTTAACTTGAATAAAGCGCCCAACTTTATTCCCTCGATTGTGGATCATATGAGTTAGACAATCATTTTTAGATTCCTGTTTTCCGCATGTTCTTCACATTACATGCATGACCTAAAGATTTAGAATGACAGTCTCAGACTTTCAGTTTGCTTATCATACATTCAACTTATATGAACATAACGAGGACAATACATAGATATATGAAATAAATAAATCTTGAATAATAGTCAATATGTCTCAAAGAACATCGTTACATTTATTCCTAAGGGCATAAACGCTAACAATGCTACCCATTAATCAAAATAAATTACGCCAACAAATGCGCACTTAGAATTCGTTAGGTTTAGATATAAATTATTAAGTTTTGAAAGTTGTAAAAGTTAATTTTTTTAAATAATTAGAAAAGAATAATGATAGGGACACCAACTCAAATTTCGACTGATGTGGCATGTGAGCTGTCCCTTTTTTTGTTGGTGAGTGCTTAAAATATTGTCACGGCAATTAATGATAAGAGATTGCATCTACAAAAGTTGGGATTTGAGTTAGTGTCCCTAGTAGTACTCATTAAAAAATGCAAAAGTTGCATTGGTTACATGAAAAAAGTAAACATTTTAACAAATAGTAATCAAATGTCAAATTTTACATATGTTATACTTGGTGGGAAATTTGCCACAAAGTATAACATATGAGAAATTTAACACAACAAATAACATTACATTGGAGAATTTTTTACATTAAATATTAAATTTACAATTGACACATTAATTGTAATATTACATTAGAGATGTTCTAATATCAATCCTTAATCAGAAACCATTAAATCATAGCCCATCCCTTCATTTATGTTCATTGAAAATAAAAATTTAAATATCAAACTTAGGTGAATAGTCATGGTCAACTAACAGGGAAGGCGTCTCTTTTTCTTCTTCTTTTTTTTTTTATTATTTTATTATTTTATTATTTTTTGGTTGAAAAGCCATGGTGTTCTTTGATAAAATACTTGGATGTTAGTATAAAATGCTGTGACTAACCTCTTTCCCCTGATCTAAGAGGAAATTTCCTATGATGCTAATCAGCTGCTTCATCTGAATCCAATTAAGTAGTTTCAATGTAATCCTCATTTATGCCACCCTTAATACACAAACACACACACACACACACACATACATACATATTAATACATATAAATGTATGTATTCATAGTCATCACCAAGTGCAACGCTTTCTTGATTCTTAAACAGAAATTAAATCTCCGTCCCGTTAGCACATTAAGTAAGTTGTCTCCTTCACTTTTTTGTTTATATTGTTACATGTATATAAAAATGTTTCAAAATGAATAAATAAATAAAAAATAAAGTCACCACCATTTGAGTAGGTCCTGAATTCTTGTTAAGTATTTCAGTTAATGGATTTGCAGGAAATGAAGGGTGTCTATTTTAGCTTTAGTGATGAGGATATCCTTGATGATTTTATTGGAAAGCTTTCTGTTGGTTTAGACCGGGAGAGTATCAAAACCACCTATTATATAAGGAGCGAGAAATCATGGAATAATCCGAAAGGGAAAGAAATTGCAGGTTCACTTGAAAATGGAATCCGAAAATCAAGCATCTCGCAGGTAATTTTTTCCAGAAACTATTATGCTTCTTCTATTCTTTCATAAAAAATAATAAAAATAAACAGGATTACGCCTGAAACTTTCTGGTTGTATTGCGGAAAGAAGAAGAAAGCAAATAAAATAATGAGGATTTAAGACCCCGTTTTCAATGGTTTTTGTTTTTAACATAAACATCGTCTATAGTTATGTCGTATGTGTGCACGTGTACGTTTTTTTTTTTTTTTTTGGCTAAAAGTCATGTGTGTGTTTAAGAACACTTGAGAATTATATTTTGACCCCTCAAATCTAATTTAAAATCTTTCCAAATAGGTCTTTAGAAAATTTTCAATGCATTTTCTTTCTTTATGAATTTGGATTCCGATCTTTATTGTAGTCCCACCTCCACTGTTGAGGAGGTCCTGATTTGACCCCTGCTAGGCCTAACTCTACCATGTCATTAGTTTCTCTCAAACTTGGTGGCAATCCCGATGACGATCCTGACTCGATCATGTCATTGGCTTGATTCTAATAGCAATCATGGTCACCTGACTCGGTCTAGGTATCGATTTGGCCCATTGGCCAGATCTCGATAGCGATCTCTGTCTATCCTTAGTACTAATCCTCCCAGTGGCGGTCATTGACCATTAACCTGACCTTGGCGACGGTCTTGACCTCAACGTCGATCCCAATTCGCGATACAGATCGTAGCCTGTTGGTCACCTTAGTTTTAATAGTGACCACAACAAAACTTTTTTTTTTTTTTTTTTTTTTTGATGGCACAACCAAACATTTTGGTTTAAAAGAGGATTATAACCATAGTCATCACCAAGTGCAACGCTTTCTTGATTTTTAAACGGCAATTAAATCTCCGTCCCGTTAGCACATTCAGTAACTACTTCTCTCTTTCGCTTTTCTGTTTATATTGTTTCATGTATATATAAATGTTTCAAAATGAATAAATAAAAAAAATAAACTCACCATCATTTGAGCAGGTCCCGAATTCTTGTTAAGTATTTCAGTTAATGAATTTGCAGGAAATGAATACGAATGATACTAGCCACCTTTATGCTGGTTTAGGTCAGGGGAGTATCACCCCTTTAGGGGCAATATTTGAAGATTCATATGAGGACAACATCCGAGAATATAGCATTTCGCTGGTAATTTTTTCGAGAAACTATGCTTCGTCCGATTGGTGTTTGAAGCAACTAGTTTATGTACTCCAATGCAGGGAGACAAATAGGCAGATTGTTGTGCCCGTGTTTTACCATATCGATCCATCGCTTGTTCGAAAACAGACTGAAAGTTTTAGAGATGCATTTTTGAAACATGAAAAGATATTTAGGACCCAGGAAGTGAAAGCATGGAAGGCTGCTCTCTATGTAGCATCTAGTCTATGCGGATGGCATCCAAAGAACCCCAGGTAATTGAATATATATATATATATATATATGTATATATATATCAGACCTTTACTTTTGTAAATTGATAGATTAGGAATGTTCGATTGATTGGTCTCAAAATTAATCCAGTGAGAGTAAAGATCCCTATTTCTTTTTCTTTTTCTGAATCTTCTTCGCGTACGTACACTTTTTGTTTTTGTTTTCTGCTTTTTTTACTTGGTGATCATGACCAAATATAGGAACACACTCCAAACATATAAAGGCATAAATATAGAATTGAAACTTCTGTTGATGATGAAATCAGTTGTTACCAAAATGTATTTCATTTTATTATTATTATTATTATTATTATTATTGTGTGTGTGTCAAAAAAAAAAAAATGTTTTCTGGTATTTGTTATAACTGTGTCTTATTTAAGATTCAACTAAAATTTCTGGCATTACTTGCATACTTAAAGTTATGTTATGATGACGTCTTCCTGCAGGTCGGACGCTGAGTTTATTGAGGAAATTGTTGGAGATATTTTGAAAAAAAAACTACCCTCAAATCTAAATATTTCGATCCATTCGCTTGGATATGATCTCAGTCATGAATATCTAAATCTCTTCTTGCAATTAGGAGTTGATGATGTTCTGGTAGTGGGGATTGCTGGGGAAGCCACAATGGGAAAGACTGTGATGGCCCAAGCTCTTTTTGATAGAATTTTTCGTGCTTTTAATGGCTGTAGCTTTATAAGTGGTGTTGGACAGAAATCAGCAACCACAGAAGGCGTAGTTCAATTACAAAAACAACTTCTCTTTGATCTACTAGGAGAGGATATCAACATAACCAGTGTGACAATAGGTGCGGCTGAGATTAAAGAACGACTCTGTCGAAAAACGGTTCTGATAGTTCTCGATGGCGTCGATGGACTGTACCAATTGCTTGCTCTAGTTGGAAGCAGAAATTGGTTTGGTTTAGGAAGCAAAATAATTATAACAACTAGGATGTTGCCTTTGCTTCATGACTTTGGTGTGGATCAAATATTTATGGCTCAAGGCAACCCTCTGCCACTTGATATCCAAGTAATTATTAGCTTCTTTTCCTTTCAAGAGAAAATGGCTGAACTTACCCATTAAAGTCCACGAGTTTAAGATTTTTATCATTTATTCTTGATTACTAAAATGTAGTTATTTGACTAAAAAGATTGTTAATCAAGAGTAAAAGGATAAAAATCAAGACTCGTGCACTTTTAAAGGGTACTGGTCGGGATTTCTTTTCCTTTAAATATAATCATTTTAACTTGTGAGTATTGATTCCTAGCAAGAAGTTGGATCAACTAATTCTTCTTGTATAGAAAATCTGGGAGCCGTACCAGCAAAGTTGTCTCAAAATTGCAGAACTAAAGGAATATATACAAAGCTACGGTTACAAGGTAAGCAGTGGATTCACCCCACTTCTCCTGTTTGAGACTTATAACCAATCCCATTCTTATTCACCAGCTCTGTTCTTAATTTAGACCGATGAGACTGTGAAGTATCTTGAAGAATGTTTGATCAGAGAACGCGAGAAGGGTGAAATTCAGGTGTTGATTCTCGTATGCATCGAAGTATTCCAACAAGTACTTTTACATTCTGTACGTGTATATGCGAATATACTATCTATATGATTGTGGTGCTGCAGGCACAGATGATACGTGAGCTGAACCATGCCTCTTGCTCTTGTGCAATGCTAGAAGATGTTGGATCCAGCTCAAGCGTGCGTGAAGCTGAAGTAGTGGATCCCGTGGCTGCAGATATTTAGGGCCCGTAAAATTAAGTGGTTTACGATTGCTTAACGAAAGTACATGCTTTTGTGCGTTCATTACCTTCAGTATCCGTCTTGCAATATACGATAAAATAGTAGCTGTCAGATTTCAAAACTATTAGTCAGGGACAAACTTAGTCCCGTGTATTTGTTCATATGATATTGTCCTGTGTATTTTTTCTTTCTTTTTTTAACTATGAAAGGTCTGTTTTTATCATGGTGTCACAAGTGGTGTTACAACACTAGTTGTGACACTGATGAAAGTAAAAGTGTAGACATATATGATTTTCTTTTAATTCAGTTTCAGTGATTGTGAGTGCAATAAAATAACAGAAAGCATAAAGAACACACGAAAATGGTATCGCAGTTCGGTGCGCACACTTACTATGCGGGGCCACGCCCAGACAATGAACAATCCACTAAGTTCAAAGGATTATAAACACCAATCGGACTTATACACCCAAAGACTCCCTCCTTGACGATGTTGCCGCCGTATCGAATCTCCTTAATGACCTTGTCCAGCGAGCACCACTCGTCTTCAAAACTGCAAGGCGAAATCCCTTCGGCTGGCAGTGTGCTTTCTCTCGAATGCTTCTAATCCTTCCCCTGAAAGACGATCTTCAATCAACACATAAAGGCTCACTCTCACATAGACTTTTTCTGAATATTTCTTCTATGAAAACTATGCCCCAAATGTCACCTTTAATTTCTAAAAGCTCAAAGACATAAAAAACAATTTCTCTTCCATCCGAGGCACACACATTCACGTCACAAGTGGTGTTGCAACATTGGTTGTGATATTGATAAAAGTAAAAGTGTAGACATATATGTTTTTCTTTTAATTCAGTTCAAGTGATTGTGAGTGCAATAAAATAACAGAAAGCATAAAGAACATACGAAAATGGTATCGCAGTTCGGTGCGCACACCTACTCTGCGGGGCCATGCCCAGACAATGAACAATCCGCTAAGTTCAAAGGATTACAAACACCAATCGGACTTATATGCCTAAAAACTCCCTCATTGACGTTGTCGCCGCCGTATCGAATCTCTTTAATGACCTTGTCCAGCGAGCACCACTCATCTTCAAAACTGCAAGGTGAAATCCCTTCGGCTGGCAGTGTGCTTTCTCCTGAAAGCTTCTAATCCTTCTCCCGAAGGACGATCTTCAATCAACACATAAAGGCTCACTCTCACATAGACTTTTTCTGAATATTTCTTCTATGAAAACTATGCCCCAAAGTCACCTTTAATTTTTAAAAGCTCAAAAACATAAAAAATAATTTCTCTTCCATCCGAGGCACACACATTCACGTACACACATGCAATATATATATATATATATATATATAACAATAGCACCAATCCAGATTTTTTCTTATTTTGCAGAGCACATGCAGCATATACTCCTTTGACACCAAGATTAATACCATTTACACTCCAAATCAAATATATCTAAGATATCTCTTCAGATCTCTTCAAATCAATTATGCAGCAAATCACTTTTCCATATGAGCATATTTTCTCCAACAAATATGCAAATCTCCTAATTTGAATATGTCAATCAAATCTTCCAAATCTTCTCTAAAATGTCCTTCCAAATATTGATTTCCATCAACAAAAACATTTCAAATTCGGAGCAATTAGCAACCAAAATTACCTCAAAATCTGAATCTACATCAATCATGAACTTGACCCTGTTTTTGAATTTTATACAACCCAATTCCAAAACATGCCAACTAATAAAATCCTAACAATCTCCCCCTTTGGCATTTTTTGGCAAAACTAACACAAGTTCCTATTCTTAATAAAAATTCAAAAACACTTTCAAAAACTAGAAGAATCATAAAAGTACATTGTTCTCCCCCTTTTTGAATAAAATAAGCAAAAATAAAAATAATAAATAATAATTGGATAACCTTTTAGAAGTTGTTGTCGCAGAAAGTGTTGTAACACCAAATGTAACACTCGGTATAACACTTTCCTGCAAATCACATTCTAATTCATTGATTTATGCAACTTGCTCCCCCTGAGTCCTCTACGAGTCTTACTCCCCCTGAATATAATATTCTTCCATGCATATTGCTTTTATCATCTATCAAAAACTTGGAGTAACCATTATCACAATACTCAGAGTTAGTAGTACATGCTTTAAAAGAAGTGCAAGCCCTATGACACCTTAAATCAGATTTCCTTACTCAAACACATCTAGGAAATTTATTTTGCACATCAATCTTTGCTTTATGTGTCCTTCTTGAGTTTGCGGAATTTGGTGGATTCATGAGCACACCTCTCTTCAAAGCATTCAAATACTTGTAGCATCTTGGTCTTATATGGCCAACTAAACCGCAGTAATGACATATGAGAACAAACTTTTTACGTCGTGGGGGTAAGATAATACCTTTCTTACTGAGGATAGTCCGAGATTCAGGAGTAGGTGTCTCCTTCACAAACACTGTTTTGGATGTTGAACATTCACCAGTGTAGCCAAGTTCATGACGATCACAACTCGCTTTTCCTATAGAGAGAATATGATCAAGTTTGGTGGTGCCGGAATTCATCATTTTAAGTGACTTTTGAGTGCGCTCCAATTCTACTATTGTGTCCTGCAACTTTTTCTCATTTTCAGCAACTTGAAATTCATAGGTTATGATAGCCCTCTTAAGCACATCATTCTCTTTAATAAGCTCATCAACTTGCTCCCGTAGAGACTTATTCATTTCACATACTTTAACTCATTTGCTGAATATGGTCTTATAAGCTTCTTGTATGTCATCAATGTCAACTCCTCGCCATCACTGTTACTCTCAGAATCTAAAAAATCTTCTTCGTTTTCACTGTTCATGAAATCTGTTACAGGCAGTGTTGCAACACTGTCTGCGACACTGTAGACAGAAACATCCTTATTAGTATAAATATTGAAAGCAACTAAATTACTCACATGATCATCATCATACTCCTGACTTCCTTCAGATTCTTCATCACTCCAGGTAGCATTATGTGATTTCTTCCTCTTCTTGAGAGTGTTAGCACACTCGAATTTTATGTGGCCGTAACCGTAGCATTCCCAACATTGAATACCCTTGTTTTTGTTTCCATCTCTGTGTTATTTGCTATAGCTTTATTCTTCCGGAAATGGTTGACATTGCCAAAGTTTGGCCTTTATTCCTTCTTGTTGAACTTCTTAGTGCCATCAAGTAGTGGGGAGCGTGAAACTGAACCCCCTTCTTTTAGAAAATCCATCCCTGCTACAACAGACCAACTCCCAAAATCTCACCAAACAAAGGGTTAAGGAACCGCTCAAACCTCACCAAACAAATGGTTAGTGAACCACTCTGATACCAATTGAAAGGTCTGTTTTTATCCTGGTGTCACAAGTGGTGTTGCAACACTGGTTATGACACTGATGATAGTAAAAGTGTAGACATATATGTTTTTCTTTTAATTCAGTTCCAGTGATTGTGAGTGCAATAAAATAACAGAAAGCATAAAGAACACACGAAAGTGGTATCGTAGTTCGGTGCGTACACCTACTCTGCGGGGCCACGCCCAGACAATGAACAATCCACTAAGTTCAAAGGATTACAAACACTAATCGGACTTATACACCCAAAGACTCCCTCCTTGACGTTGTCGCCGCCGTATCGAATCTCCTTAATGGCCTTGTCCAGCGAGCACCACTCGTCTTCAAAACTAAAAGACAAAATCCCTTCGGCTGGCAGTGTGCTTTCTCCCGAAAGCTTCTAATCCTTCTCCCGAAGGACGATCTTCAATCGACACATAAAGGCTCACTCTCACATAGACTTCTTCTATGAAAACTATGCCCCAAATCCAGATTTTTTCTTATTTTGCAGAGCACATGCAGCATATACTCCTTTGGCATTAAGATTAATACCATTTTGTAGTGACCAAGAAAATCCCATAATTTCAATAATGAAATTCATGTATTTAAGTTAAGGATTTTCCTAGAAAATCATTATACTATGTACATTTTGTGATTGAAGGATTTATGGAATGAACATCTGCATTCCTAAATTCTGTAGCAGATTTCACGTTAAGTTCACGTTTTTCCAATCAAGTAAATTCGATCGATAAATTCTCACCGTGCTTTAAAACGGAAGAATTTCTAGTACAGATACAGTTTGAGAATCTTAATTTTAAGAATCTCCCAGCACAGTACAAACTAGTATCCAGTACCCGTATACAGGAGAAAATAGCTGTCAGTATAATTTTGGATAGTTTTAATAAGTAACTTAAGGGAATGGACAAATGTGCAAGGGGTAGGTTAGTGTGTGTGATTTGATGTGATGTGATGAGAGAGGTGAATAGGACTCATGATTAGTTTTTTTTCTCCTTTTTCTCTTCACTTGGCCGGCCATACTTAGG